CCTAATTGCTTGGCCTATTATTGTAGCAACCAGGTATAAACTCCATTTACTATGTAACTACAAATTTTCCCACTACTGGGGGCAGCTGCTTCTGCCTCCATCACTGGTGGTCTGAGAACCACATGCCTTTCTGATGAGAGAGGGACCTCTGAGAAGTCAATTTGTCCATTTCCCTGTCTCCTCTTAATGTGGCCCCTTTCTAAATCCTAATAGCTATAGGAAACAAAAAAGATCAGAGTCTTCGAAACCCTGGGATCTCAAGAGAAGCTAATTCTAAGTGACACCCTCCCCCCAGTGCATCGTGCCACGACATGGGTGTGTCCCATGTCCAGAAGAAGCTCTCAGCTGAGTATCTCTCCTCTTCCTGCTCTGGCAGAAGTGGCAGCCCTCCTCTTGCCTCTTGTATCACTTCCTAGGGCCCACACCTCAACAGCACATTAGCATCACCTGGGAAGTTTTTAAGAATCCAGATGCCTGGGCCTTATTCTAAGGCAACCAAATCAGAGTATCTGGAGGTAGGACCCAGACTGCAGTATTTTTTTTTTTTTTTTATAAGTAAATGAGTATGGCACAGACTGCAGTATTTTTAAAAGCTCCAGGGGGTTCCCATGTGTGGCCAGAGTTGAGACCCTCTAGGTCAGGTGTCCTCAAACTACAGCCCACGGGCCACATTCGGGCTACCTAGCACATTTATCCAGCCCTCTGGGTGTTTTTGCTGCTGCTGTCTGTCCTGCTCAGCAGCCTACTCGTCCCAGGCCCACAGTGCACACTTTCCAATGGTCTGAGGGACAGTGAACTGGCCCCCTGTTTAAAAAGTTTGAGGACTCCTGCTCTAGGGCTAAAAGAGAAGAGTGTGGCTGCCTGGTCAAAGGGCCTTGCTTATCTATAAGACTATGTCATTTTTATCCCTCCCTCTCTGGTGCTGGAGGAGAGAATTCTTTCACTTTTATTGGAATCTGAAGAACATCCCTTTCTCTCTTCACAAGAAGCTTCTAATATTAATAACTATTCATACAATTTACCAAGCCCCTGCTGAATGAATAGATCTATGCAAATAAAATTTAACCTGATCTACACAACAACTCCGTAAGGTCAGTGGGTATGTCCACTTTATAGATGGCTCAGAGAGGATAAATAATTTGCTCAAGGCTGTAAGATCAAGTCTTAGATCTGGGACTTGAATCCAAAACCCCCACTTTGAACCACTGTGCTACATTGCCTCTCAGTTTCTTGAGGCCAAAGGGAAAGGCCTTCACAGCAGTCTGAAGGGCCTAGGGAATGACTTGGGAGGGAAAGAGAAGAGAGGCAAGGAGAATACAGACAGGCAGACGAGGGCTACAAGTGGATGGGGCATGGGGAAGGGATGGGGGTGGGAGAGACTGGAGTGGGGGATGAGTCAAGGTACCTGGAGGAAGGTGCACTTGGGGATGGGGTAGTGGCTGTGGACAAAGCTGGGAGATGGGATGCGGGAGTGGAAGCTGGTGGCCCGAACAACTGGAACAGTGAGTAGTGCCCACCATGGATGGGGTAGCTGGAGTGGGGAAGGGACCTTGTGTCCGACGAGGGGTCTTTGTGAAGCACGCAGCAGTGAGGAATGCTCCACCATGAATACTAAGGGCAAGAAGAAGAGAAAGGGCCAGAGGGGGCTGGGTGATGTTTAGCTGCTGGGGTGATTAATGGGGGTGAACGGAGGGTGAAACTCAAACCCTTCGAACGAAGATGGCGGAGAATAGTTGTCCAAGAACAACAGTGCACTGTTTCGTCGAGGAAGCCAATGTCCAGAGGAGGGGCGGCGGGGAGGATGCCAGGCGCAGTTGCTCCTTCCCTTTTTTCCCAAGGTCTCTTTATTCACCATCAAAGAGTAAACTAAAATATACTAGCCAACTCCAGGGAACCCTCTGGACAGGCTTCCTACCTGCCTCCTGGCTTAGAGGAGACCAAGGAATGCCGGGGTGGCTTAGGAAAAGAGCAAGTGAGTTTCGGGAGGGAGGTTGAGATGACTGCACGGACCTCCCCACTGGTTAGACGAAGTGGCAATGTGCTGGCTGGGCCACGGCCTCCCTCTGGACCAGATAGGCACTGAGAGATGCATAGGGGTTGGGTCCCCAAATGTCCCATGGAAAGTGGTAGTGTTCTTAGAGCATCCTGGGCCTCAGGGAGGGCGGAAGGGCTCCCTGAGAGAAGGAGCAGAGCATTGGGAGAATGAAGACAGAGGGCTTCCCATGGCCCCGGTTTCAGGGTGTTGACCTCAGTTTGAAGAATAGAGATAAAACTGTGGAAAGTAACAGGTTTACACCTCCCATACCTCATTTTCTCCTGTCTCTTTCTCTAGGTGCAGCAGCCATGCCCCTCAACCTCCCTACCTGCATTTTCAGAGGGCAGGAGACAGGGAAAAAGAGATAAAGAGAACTGATTCAATGCTGGGGGAGGTGAGCTGAAGGCAGGGATTTAGATGGAAATTATCTCATGGGATACGAGCAATTTTTTCCCTCTCTTGGCCTTTTATAGATGTGAAGCAACTGGCAGCTCCCACTTATCCCACCCCCAAGCATTTGAGGGCATGGTGGATCTTAAAGCCTGTGCCTCCCAAACTGTGCCAGTTGGGGGAAAGGGAGGTCAGGAAATGGGGCTAGGTGTATGTGCAAGGGCCCCTAGAAGGTTGAGGGAGGCTAGCACCTTCTTAGGGCAGGGAAGGCAGAATGCCCATTCCTGATCTCAGATTGCTTGGGAAGTGTGCCTGGGAGTCCTGTTATCTGGCCTTAATTCCTGTCTCCACACAGAGCTTGACTAAGCTGCTTCCCCTGTTGGAGTTTCACTCTCAGTCTGCTCAAGCTATCTCTCCAGGAGCCAAGCCCACAAAGCACTGTAAAATCTGAAGTTAGTGGGAGGTGGTTATATTTACAAATACTCTGAGGTGCAACATGACTTGACTGGTAATGAAGCAACCATCCCACATACCACTAAGTTCAAGGATCACCTTCAAGAGGGGCCAGCCTCAGTTTGCCTGTTACCAAGGGCAGGGGCTAACAGAGGCTGCCTTCTACTTCACAGAAGGTAAATGGATCCACTAGAAAGCAATGGTCATAATCAACAGTCTTAATTATGAACTAATAATTCATAATTATTCCAGACTTATAGATAAGCACAAGCCTACTGAAATTATTTCCCAGGGATGAACATAATCAGAGGAGGTGGGAAGGGGACTCCAGTACAGACATTACTTCCAGAAGCCATTAAGTTCATTCTTTTGCTTCCCAACCAGAACCTGGAAGATCATTAGCTTCCTTGGTCCATTGTTTCTAACATCTACCCCCTACCCCAAACATCTAAAACAGTGCCATATTGCTTCTCTGTTCTTCCTGAGGCCTGAAGGCCATCTCTGCCAAAGTGACCTCAGAAGCTGGACTCTGGATTCCTGGGGTCTCTGTTCTCTGCCCCCTGTTCTGCTAGTTATGTATGGGGTCTCCTGCAGGAGGGGCTGGTGCTGGGTGTCCCAGGGAGATGTGGCCATCTTCCTGGCTCTTCTCCCTCTCCCTTCTCCCTTTTCATGGGGATTGCCTAGGAGTCTTCATATTGCAATGGAATGCCTCTTCAACTCCATGCGGGAAGAGAAACAGACATCTAGTGTGGATGTCTTTGGTTCCTGGATCTGGATTTGAAGAGCTGGCTCTGATCTCTTCAGCTGGCTCTGATAAGAAGACATCTATACATGGCATCAACAATGAAAGTGGGGCCTAGATACATCTAGGGAGGCCTGCCTAACACCACACCCAGTTTTCTGCTGCTCCCCTCCCCATGCTCATAATCCCAAACCCCAGGGGATTAAAAAATATTTTAAAGGAAGCTCAAAGAGCCATGCAGATCGTCACAGCTCCAGGGTGTCTTCTCTCTCTCTCTCTCTCAGGGAATCTGAAAATGAAGAGAGATTCTTATTCTCCCAAATACTTAAAGCCTTAGACCACAAAGGGGCCTTATCTTCCAGACATTAGGAGCTACTCGATCACCATCTCTGCTCTTATTCTACCTTCTTCAAAATGTTAGAAGGAAAAGGGACTGGTTCATGGACCAAAAGGATTTGGGATTAGAAAGCATTTCCAATCCCAATTTTATAGCCTTCCTTCCCATCAGCCTCTTCATTTGCATAAAATATAAATGTCAGGCTAAACCTACAGGATGAAGAAAGTTGGAAAATTGGGACCCAAAAATACCCCTATCCATAGGTACAAGAATACACTTGAAAAGTAGCCACCCAGGAGGGGCTGATGGCCAGCCAAGCACACCGGGTGGTAGGCAACCACCGCCATGGGCAACACTCATCCCACCCTTCACCCAGGCTCTCTCCTTACCTGGCCCATTTTGGGTGTCAAAAGGAGAACCAGTTAGGGGGTGTAACACAAGTTATACAGATAATTAACTGTGGAAGCACAAGTCAGTTGTTTTTGGTTTTGTTTTCTAATGCCACTCTTTTGGCCTCCAAATAGGAAAGATCTTTAAATCCCTTCACTAGCTCCCTCCTATTCTCTACCCCTCTCTCTCAAACCCTAGCTATAAACAAATCCTAAATGTAGGAGGACAAACCTTCCTGACCTACCATTTTGCCCCACCTGCAACCCCTGTCCCCTCCCCCCAAATTTTCTCTCTTGAGCCTCCGCTCTTCGCTTCTTTAAAAAAAAAAAAAAAAAAAAAAAACGAAGAAGAAGGAATTTTCAATAGTCCCACTTGTCAAGCGAAGACCATCTTTTAACCTTCAACAGCAGCGAAAGCCGTGTGAACTCTCGGTGAACCAAGATTGAAGTCATAAATCACGCGTACAAAGGCGGCTGCGGAGGCTGGCGCGGGCTGCTGCACCTTTAACGCTTTCTGGGGCTGACAGGCGGCGGCCCAGCTAAAGTTCACAGCGCCCGGGGAGGGCCCGCCCCGCCGCCCCGCCGCCCCTCCCCCAGCCCGGCCCGGCCCGGCCCGGCCGCCGCGCGGCCCGAGCTGCGCCCCGGAGGCCCCTGGGCTGTTCCCGCAAGGGGGGGGGGCGGATTTTCTCTCCTGCCAGCCCGCTCTCTCGCGGCTGTTTATTCCCGTCCTTCTCCCACCCCCCAGTCTGCCGTATTTAAATAGGCAAATGCATCTACAAGGACGCAATAATTTAGCTTGTTTGGTCTTAGGCATTTTCTACAGGACCCCAAGAGATGGACCTTCCTCTCTCCTTCCTCCCTCTAGAACTGGCATCTTCATCTCTGTCTGTGTAGGCCCAATTATCCAGGTCCTTGGGGCTGCAAGAGGGTCTGAGTCATTGGAACCAGGAACACTTGGCTGAAACGCAATATAATTAGATTTTCTTTTTCTTTTCTTTTACCTTTCTTTTTTCTCCTCTTTTCTTTTCTTTAGAAAAGAGGGCTGGAATTAGCCTCCTCGACTGGGGCGGAGTAGCCGGGGTAGGGAAAGGAACACCTTCTTACCACGACCCAACTCGCAGCCCCTTTGGAGAGATCTACGGGCTTCAGAGCCCGGACTCCCTTCCTGTCCTCGGCCTCGCGGCTGGCCGCGGCCGCCTCCTCTTTCTCCTCCTCCTCCTCCTCTTCTTCCTCCAATCCTGTTTTTTTTCCCCCTGCCCCCACTGTCTTCTCTTCGCTTTAATTAAAGTTCAGCGACTCCACTAGCCTCTCATCTCTCTCAGAAAGCGGAAACCGGACAGCCCAGCAGCCGCAGGCCCAGCCGCCCCAGCACAACTCCTGCGTGCGCTGGAGGGGCCTCCCTCGCCCGCCTCCCTCCGTCGGCTGTGGCCTCTGAACCCGGGTCTCCTGCCCCTCCGCCATCCCGCAGGTGTGCAGCGCTTGGCCTGGGAGATCCGAATGACTGGGGCCGGATACGAGGGTCCTCATCTTCCCCCAGACCCTCAGGCTTGCTCCAGAAAGTTTGGACGGTGGGTACACCCCGACCCAAGCAACTTGCTCCCCTAAATCCATGGCTGACTAATCTGATATGACAAAAGCCCATGATGAATTTGGTATATGTTAATTCACAATGCCCTTTCCTCCAGAATTTAACTATAAGTTAATACACACCGGAAACCACGCGCATACACGCTCGTTAATGGGCTTAGGTATTAGCGAGTCCTAACGATGCATACAAATGTGCTCTGCGCTCTGTAGGCCCCTCAAGATTTATGGGCCTGGAGCTCTCTGAAGCTGTAAACAAGGAGAAAAAAAAGAGAGAGAAAGCGAGCAAGGCTGGGGGAGAAACAGAGGCCTGATTTGCCCCTCCAGGTTGTGGGAGAGAAAGGATTCTTACATGTATTTTCCTTTCCTTGCAAGCTCGGTGCGTGTGGGTTTTGGCATCAGTCTGGGGGTGGTGTTTGTGCCTGAATGCTGGTGTGCGTGGGCAGTGTGTTGTTTGTGTGCTAGAGTAGGAGGAAGCCTGCCTCCTTTGAATTGCTGTGCAGGGGCCTGAACACAGCAGGCATTTGTGGGCATATACGTGTGAATGTGTGCACTGTGTTGGTGCATGTATGTGTGTGTGTGTGCATGCACTTGCCCACGCATAGATGTGACAGGCAGGCCTCCCTCTGAGCCAGGCTGCTGTCCCCTAAACCTGGTGAACAAACCTCTAACAACAATCGTAATAACAATAAATAATAAATAACAATAAAAACAGTAGTTAACAGTCTCTCCCTAGCAGGATAACAATAAAATGCAAGAGGAGATATTTCGAGGAGGGGACAGAGGAAAGAATCGTGATCACAGCATCTGAGGGGAAGACTGGAAAGGAAGGAAGAAAGTTAGCTTCTTTATATGCCCTTGAGGGGCTGGGGTTGGGAACCCTCTCCTCAGACAAGGCCCTCAGGTCAGAGGAGGGGAGAGAGCGCCAGGAGGCCACTCTTTTCCTGCTCCTTCTCCAGCTTTCGCTTTGTTCCATCGGGAAAGGGATCCCACCTAGGGGAATGGTTAGTGGCTTTGGGGACTCTCTGGGAGCCCCTGTTTTAAGGAGGAGGCCAAGCGTGCAGGGTCAGGCGGAGGGGCAGAGATGAATGAAGCGATGACCTGATACTATCCCGGCAGCCAGCCGGCTGGGCCGCAGAGGTGCCCGGGAGGACGAGCTAGGGGGCTGGGATGGAAGCTGAAAAACATTTATGACCACCTGGGAGTGGGGAGAGCCAAGCCAGGACTCCGGTAGGCCCAGGGAAAGCTCCCTTCCTAGGGTCTTTAAAAAAAGGGAGGGGTTGTGGCGCCTTGAATCTTCCTTCTCAAGCTTGGAGCCTAGCCGATTTTCGATTTTCTTAAAGGAAGCGAAGACCACAGTGCTGGATCCGGCGACATCCACCTCATTTTCTCCAGGTACAGTTTTCTAATCATTTTACTAATTTATTTATTTGGGGGAGGTGGGAGTCAGAGGTGTAGAGATCCGACGACGTTCGCTGGAAAGGAAGCTGCCCCAAAGTTTCGGGTCTAACGAAATCCCTCCTTTAAAAACAGTTTTACCATTAAAAAAAAATTCAGAGAAGTATAAAAACACAAATTAGCCAACTTTTTTAAAGAGGAAAAAAGAAAAATACCGTAACAAAATGAACATGAGAACTTCTAAAAGATTTAAGTCACAAACATTTTCAGAGGTTTGGATTCTTTTTCAGCGGCGGCGACCCATTTGGTCTGAAAGGAGACGGAGAAGGGCACTATCCACTGAGTCCGGCTGTAAAGCCGACACTCACCCACGGAGATTCGAAAGGGAGCCCTGGGCGTTCTCGCATTTGAGAACACAGGGTGGAGGCCGCTGCGATAACCAAGTGGACAAAATAGCAATAAGACACAACCAGCGGAAGCGCTGAGCGCAGGGCGCGGGAGAGGGCCCGGGTGGCGTGTGTTCCAGCGGCCGCCGGGGAGGCAGCTGCCCCGGGCGGTGGCGCAGGGCGGCCGGCACTGCCTGGCGACTCCGCTCGGCCTCGGCCCCGCTGCCCGGCCGGCCCGCAGCTCCCTTTCTCCCCGGCCTGCTCTCAGGCTCTCTCTAGCCGCTGCCTGGTCGGGGCTTCCCGGGTGAGAGGGAGCGAAATGACTCAAGCCAGACTCTGCTTCTTCATTTTCGTCCCTTAGGCCTCTCCTCTTGCCGGAGCTCTCAGCCACCGGGAGACAGACGGACGCCGCTTCCAGGCTGCTTTGTGCGCGGACACTGCCCCCAGCCCACTCCTGCTCGGTTTCTTTCCCAAAGTCCGGCGACCTCCAGGCCTTCTTGGGGGAAATACCGGTACCCAGACATCTCAGCTCCCTGTTATATGTGACCTGACCGGGCTCACTTCAGGAACATGTTACAAAGAAGAAGAAGAAAGAACCGCTTTGAGCGGTGTTTACATCTAGTTCTACTGATCCATTCACATCTGGAGAGTTTATTTATAACTCCCTCTATAACTCTCTCTGTTTGGAGGCGCTGGAGGCTCTATTGACAGACTGATGTCTAGAAAATATTGCTCTGTTTCTAACCATACCTAAATGTGCTGTGGTTGTATTTGCAGATTTATGTTTCAGGAAAATATAATTATTTCCATTGTATTTGTGCATATACAATAGTTATAGGAGCAGATTTATATATGGGAAAATATACGACTCTCTTATAGCCATCCAGCTTTATGGACATTTGATTTCCTGACAGATTTATATCTCTGAACAGCTATATAGATAAATGTATATTGTTAGAATTATGTATCAGGAGATATATACTTATTGATTGTGATATAGAGTAGTTAGAGCATTCACTTAGAGCCATATATGGCTATAGAGATATTTCTATATTATTATCACTATATATAGGCATATCTATTTATAACTACATAGTTATAAAAATAGACATAAGTAATTATAGTCCTATATGTACATGTTGCTATCCCTCTCTAGAGTTATAGACACTTTCGAATATAACTCTAAAGAGATATCCATATGTATATAAGGTGTAATTATCTCGTGATGTGTGTGCAGTGGAACTTAGGCCAGTCTATCTCTGAATAGACATATTTATATGCAGCCGCTGGAAGAGACTTGTTCATGGAGATATCTGTAGAGGCCAACTGAAAATCTGTATCTGGCCATCTGGGAAACCATCTAGCAGAGTTCTTTAATTCTGAAGGGATGGAGTTACAAAAGGGTAAACAGAGCCTAGGAAGCCTCTGGAGGGGAGGCAAAGGCAGGGTAATTTGGGCTCAACAGGAAGAGATAGACTTGGAAAGGGGTAAGCACCTGGCACACACCAGAAGGCGAGAGCCAATTTTGTGAGGAGCTGGCACAGATGGGTTTGAACGACGGGCTTATAGAAGGGGGGACAGTGAACAGTACCACTACCCCACCCTGAGACACTCTCCACCCAGGGATCGGGCCTTTAGCTCTCGGCTTTTAGTTCACTGAAGGCTAGCAGCTTTCTTGTGCCTCTTGAATTCCTAGATCATTTTTTTTCCTCTTGAACTCTAATTTTTAGGTCTCATAGAGTGGGCTTCAGAGGTGAAGGGGTTTGGGGAGGGACAGGGCAGGGAGCATGGGGTGCGCTTTCACTGCCAGCTGCCTGCCGCTTTCTCATGAGTGAGGTAATCCAGGAAAGTGAGGTAATTCGAACAAATAAAGCTCACTTTCATCTGGGCCTCCGGTGCCCCAGGGATGTATGGTTGGGACAGGAGCCCAGTGAATCAACCGGTGAATTTACAAGTTTTGGGTCTGTCCTGATGGGAGCTTGGGGAGGCCATCCTCGCCACCACCACCCACTCCTTCTCTGAAGCCTGGGCTCAGAGGCCTAATTCAGCTCTGCTAGGCTGCTCCTTTGTTGATCCCCAAATTGGGGTTCCCTCTCCTCGATATGCCGAGAGGGACCCCTCCAGCTCCCTAGCAGCACTGCCCTGGGCCTTTTCAGGGATAATTTGACTTCAAGGAGCAGGGAACATGGACCTAATTCCTAGACCTCTCTTCTCCCACTCACAGCCGTGCAGCTTTCCTGCCAGCCCCCTTCCAGGTGCCACTGGGCCAAGGCTCCACAATTCTTCCCCTGCCACCAACCATTCCAAGAGAAAAGGACACCTCCCCACCTTGCCCCCTCCCCAATTTGTTTGTTTGTTTGTTTGTTTGTTTTACCAGAGATTCACAGATATCTTTGCTGAATGGTTTGTGTAAAGGAGTTTTCCCCAGAACTCAGTCTCAGCAGCCAGCCTGGCCTCTAAGCTCTCTAGGCTGCCAGGAAGGGAGTGGAGACCCCTGGGTTGGGGTTAAATGCCATGTGCTACCCTCCACACACCCCTGCCCACAGGACTGGGGACTCATCCAGAGCAAGGACTCTTTCTGCTGCCTGAAGGGTCCTAGTTGCCCATGTATACTTGTTGAGATAAAAGAAATTGCAGTCGATCCAAAAACTTATCCTCACTCTGTACACCACTGTAGCCACTGCCCCGGCTAGCAGGCACCCAATACGGGCTGGAGGCACCTAGCCAGGCAGGGGATAACTTGGTGACTAGCATCAGCTCGGGCTCTGGCAGGGCCAGCAGCCCGAGCTGGCTTGGGGTGGGGGAGCAGCCTGAGTTGGCTTGGGGTGGGGGTGCAAGGCTGACCCTGTCTCCCACTGCACCTCTGCCCCCATTCTGAGTCTCCCCAATCCCTGGACCCCCAAATGTGTAAAAACTAAAACCTAAGTGGAGACCTGGGCTAGGAAGGAATTGCCTGTTGTCCTGAGGGGCCCAAAGAGGAAGCATCACTAGGTCCATTAAAAAATACACAAAACAAAAATAAATCAGTGCAAGACAGCCTGGCTCTTAGGAAAGGTCTGTTGCTATGTCTCAGTCCTGCTCCAGGGATACCAAATAGATCAAACTTAACACTTTAAAATTTTAATTTAATAGTTAAAAAATTTAACTTTAAAAAACTCACAAATTTTCCCATCCACTGATACCCTAATCAGATTGTTTCATATATTTATTTTTTTATTGTCACCATTTCCCCCTCTTTGGTATCTGTGAAATAGTTCTTTCTGGGAGTTTGGAGTCAGCCAGGCTGGTCACTGTCAGTGAACTGGATAAGATGGGCAGGTTTGTAGTTCCCTCATCTAGTGAGGATCCAGGTCTATAGGGAAGGGTCAGCCTTCCCCTCTCACATCAAGACTTGGAAGGAGGAGGAACCTCCCAAATTTGGTTCCTTTTTTCCCCTGAGGATCCTTACTTCTCTGGCTGCTTTTTTAAGGGCAGAAACTGCCTGCACAAGGCTTTGGGCTAACTTAAACCTGAGATCCCTCAGCCTTGGACAGTTTCCTCCCCAAACACCCAGCCTCCCCTCCCTTCCCCACCAAAGCCTAATGCCCAAGTGGGCGATTGTTGCTTTTCCTAAAGCAAGAAATGCAGGGAGGGAGAACTGAGGGTCCTGCATTTACATATGTTTGCCTAAGGAGGAGTCAGGGCAGGTGTCTGGGCTGCAGCCAGAAGGGGGGGTAGGTACAGTCGCTGTAAACAACAGAACCTGCAGGGTTCAAATAACGATTGTCCTCCACCAAAAGTCAGGAAACCAATAGACACTGGCCATGATTATTGAGCTCAGAGAGTTCCGAGCCCCTTTACCTGGGCTGGAATGCTTATTAGCTGTTTCTGGGTCCCAGATCCCTTTGACAAACTGACAAAAGCAGTGGGCTGTCTCCCCAGCAAAATGCACACAGCCACACAATGCCCTCAATAGTTGCTGGAGTCCTAGAAGCCCATGATCTCTAGGTTCAGTATCCCTAATTTCTATATGTTCCCTTTCTTTCTGTGGTCCATCCCTTCCCTAGTTGTCTGCCTTTGCTTTTGCTGTCCCTGAGTTCCCTTGCTTGGAAGTCAGGAAGTTCTTCCCCAAGTATAATACCTGGCATTCTTGGCAAAGCCCCATTTTTTCTTTGCTTTGCTAGAGCAGGCACCTGGCAGAGGCCTTGCCTGTTTAGGCTGAGCTCCTGTTCCGCTCTCCTTCTGCAGAAAGCAGGCGAGTGGCTGTTAACTGAAGCCTGGACTATACTGCCCAATTACTCAACTAATTCCTGGGGTGGGAGGTGCTGGGGCATATTGGCATCATTGGATGTCTGGCTGTAAGGGGACCAATTCCCATCTCTAGTGGAAACTTGGATGCAAGGAACAAGTTGCAATTGCTATAATAATAGTCATAATAATAACAATAATAATTTATTTAGCATATCATTAGATGTGTATTTACTGTCTTCCTTCTGCTTTTTTACTAGTGGCTCCTAAGGAATCCTCACAACACCCAGGGGAAACAATAATAAGCTAATTACCACCCTTCAGCTTCTTTTCCTCCTCCCATCCACAAAGTCACCCTCTCAGAAATGGACCATTTACAGAACCCCTTCCTGTGTTTTACACTTGCTTAACATATTCTCCCCCATTCCCAATTCTCTTCTCCCATTCCCAGTTTTTCTTAACTTCCTGTTAAGGAAGTTTCCCCATGATTCAGGAGAGGAAATGTTGGGGAGGGGAGTCCATTGAGGCCAGAGAGATCCACTTAGTTGTGGTTGCTATGGGTATTAATATTGTTTCCCTGATACCACGGCAATATTTAGGATAATATAGAAGGTCCTTTAATAACCCCAGTCCTGTCAAAATTCTTACTTCTCTGGCTGCTCTTTTTAGGGCAGTAAGTGCCTGCACAGGCTTTGGGGCAGACTGGATTAGAGAGAGGACTTGTGCTCCATGATGCCAAAACATCTGAGTCAAGTGTAGGAGTGTGGCTAGTCCTGCAAATGTGGTATCCATTCTAGTGGCCTTCAAACCATTCAGGTCAGACCTCAGAGATGCCAGGTCCCACATAACTCCTTGGCCTCTTTTGGCAATGGAAAGAAAGGAAGGAAGGGAGGAAGACAGGGAGAGAGGGAAGGAATATATGTATGTGTGTGTATGTATGTATGTATATATACATACACACTCACAGATATATTTTTTTCTGAGTAAATAACCATGACAATGTTTATACTTGTTAAAATATTCATTTCTTTGCACTTTTAAGTGTAAATTCATATCTTCTCAGAGATTATAATTAAAGTACAAACCAGACACGTGTTTGGATGTTGGATTCTGGGTAGATTTTTGGACCAACTAAAAGACCCTCTGGAATCCCAGTGATTTTTGAGCATGCTCCTAGTTACTCATGCTTCTAGTTACTCCTGACCCCAGCCCAGAGTGTAGAGCAAAGTGGTAGCTGCTGTCATGATGGTCTCGGTCAGAGACAGAGCTGCCTGGCCTCAGTCATTGAGATCCAGGGTGTTGCCGTTCAGACTGCTCAGGTGCTGGAGTCAGCTCTCTACTTCTTTGCTCAAGTACATAATTGCTCCTGGGAGGAAGGAAGTTTGGGCTGGAAGGTACAAGAGCTAGGAGGATCAATATCAAAGTGAACCAGAAAAGTCAGAACTGAATCCACATCTTAGCTCCCTAAACCACAGGTGGCACAACTGACATTCTTGGTGGATCCCATGCCCATGTGGTGTCTTTTCCTCTTTCTATAGTCCTCATGTCTTTCTGCTGCCCATATGTTCACCTGTGTGCCTCCTGGGGGGAAGAGGCCTGTGCTCTCGCCCTTTAATAACCACAGTCCTATCAAAATTTACTTGTCCTGGCCGGGCTCGGTGGCTCACGCCTGTAATCCTAGCACTCTGGGAGGCCGAGGTGGGTGGATTGCTCGAGGTCAGGAGTTCGAAACCAGC